TAATGAGATTTTTGGTGCTGTTTTTAACTTTTTTCAAAGATTGGTATAAGAAAAACTTGAATAACTGAGCCTAAACTCTCCCGATTTAGACTTGTGAGATATCATTGGAAAGGTATTTTCTCACCCTTTTTATTTCTTTGCTAATAAACTCATTCAAACGATGGAAGAGAAAGGTAGGATGAACGAACGTCATTCAAAGTGGAATTAAGATATGTTGGTATTCGAAAAAACAAGATGGGACACGAATGACGTTTTTTTGGCCAGAAATAAACACAGTGTGAAAATACCTTTCTACTGAGATCCCATGAGTCTAAATCAAGAGATTTTTGGCCCAGTTATTCAAGTTTTTCGTAAACCAATCTTTGAAAAAAGTAAAAAAAACCGTATCAAAAACTTCATTCTTACGATTCCGTTGAAAGGATTTTTAAATATTTTTATGCAGATTTTTTAAGCTTAATCTAATTTGTCATCTGAGGGGACTTTTTTCAAAAAGTTCTTTAAGAAACTGTTTTTATTCATAAAAAGCTTCATTTTTGGAGGTATTTTCAAATCGGTCCAGCTCGCTTAAATCTTAATATTTTTCCGAAATATTTTGGTGGACGTCTTAAAATATAATAAACTTTGTAATCCCGGCGGAAAAACCGCAACTTTTTTTGGTGATGCAGTCTAATGTATATATATATATGTACATACATTTTATACGGTTGACAAACTGGCTCGCTTATCTGCATAAACCGTTTTTATTTGCATTAACTCATGCATTATCTCCTTGCAAATGAGAATAAGCGGCAGGACAAATACATAAAAATTTCGTGCATTTGTTCGAACGTGGAGATATAATTTTGTGTACATATTCTATTAAAGCTATTAAGGTATCTACTATAAGAGTGGTTTACTTGAAAATGAGAGAGTTCTACTTTTAAGCTAAGTAAGTACTTGTTCTACCTCTTAAATTTTCCAGTCAGCCCACCATTATTCACTGAAAGTTGTATTCGGAACGCGGAGTGACTTATTTAGGAACTGCATCCGGTCATAATCACTCACGCTACACGCGTGATTTTACGTGACTTGAAAATATTTTTCACTATAAGAAAATATTGATATTGTCGTCAACGAAAACGACAACTGTGAAAAAATATCAACCAACACATTCAAACAAATTGTCAAATAAGCATATTTAAATTTTTTGTTTTGTCTATCTGGATTACTGTATACTGTGATTAGGACAAGTTTTACTCCCTCCTATAAAATTTAGGCAACCTCACATACGAGGTTTTGCATTTTCTTGATGCGCGGTTTTGTACTTTAAACGACGATATGTAGAAGTATTGCATACATATTTTGGTAGCTTTTCAAGTATAAAGTCCACCGAGAAACATATAATATAACACATGATCAAAATTTTTTTTTTACATGGAAAAAAATCCGCAACACCCTCGACAAAAAAAATTCTAAAAAATCAACGGTAATTTTTAGCGACCTGAAACTTCCACTTTATTATACTAAAATGGAATGGGCTACAAAACTGCATACCCCAACATTTTCTATATATTCTAATTAAAAATTTTGAAATTTTGATGACGATTTTAAGTTTGATTAATTTTTTTTGCAATTTGTGCAAGCTTTGCAACTTTTGTTATTGTGGTTTCTAATATAGATTGAATTATATTTTAAATGAAAATTATTAAAAATAAATAAATAAACATAATTTGCAAGCAATATCGTTTTGAATTTCGTTGCTAATTAGTTGCACGCATCTGTATGTATATCGCTTTCATTCATTTCTTCATAGAGTTGGTGCTTCTTTTATAGGAAAGTTCATACGGCTTATGAACAGATTCATACCATGTAAATGCACAATTATGAATACATGTGTAGATGAATCACTCAGAAAAAACATGCCTTGTTGCTAGGAAAAAAGTATATTATTCTAAGGAAATATTGCCTTGAAATGGTTCCAATGACTTGGCTGCCTTAATACGATTTGACTCCCCAGCCAACAAAGAAACGTAAATTTTTCCGACAGTGCAGTTTAGTTCAATTTTCCGTATCCGAAAACGAATAGAAAAACTCGTTCAGTTATCATCAATTTTTGTATCCGGAAAACGCTCGAAACGTTCGCAAAAGGTGATGTCATTTTAATGCAATAATTGTATTTTATTTTCTAAAGCTACCCAGCCAGCAAAATATCCGGAAACGTATCCGAAAATTGAAACAATTTCGTATAAAAACCTGATGTTTCATCCGTTTTCCGATTCCGTTTTCGGGCGTTTTTCAGATCAATTCTCCCACTGAAGTGTTCATCCGAAACGTATGTGCAGAAAACTATCGAAAATGGTTGTAAAACGGATGCGCTTTCGGCTGTTTTCCTGAGATTTGTCTGATACAATTTTTCTTTGAAAACGATTTCATTATGAACTTCACAGAAACTTTTTCATAGTTACAGGAAACCAAACAAACAAAATTTAAGATACAGCAATTATTTCAATTTGAATAACTAATTTTAATGTGTTACTTCTGACGGAATTCGAACGTGGGACATCCTGAAAGCTAACAAATAGTAGCACACTTCTCTGCACACTCAGTTACTGGCGAATATGTATACATGTTTTCAAATGCTCAGTTTGAACAGATATTTTAAAATTATTGTTTTGAAATAAGATGATGACATTTTTCGGATAAGGAAAATGAGCAAATATGAAAATCGTTTTCTGAACATTTCCGGAAATGAAAAATGTACGAAAACTGCACTTTCGGCAAAAAGTACGTTTCTCTGCTGGCTGGGTAAACATTTGAAAGCATGAATGCGTAGTTGGTAGTAGCTGAGCGTGCAGAGGAGTGTGCCTCTATTTGTTAACTTGCAGAAGGTACCGAATTCCGTCAGACGCCTGATAATTTTATTTTATTTCTTTTGAACCATGAAAAAGTATCTGTGAGGTGCAGAAGGAAAGCGTATTGAACGAAAAATTCAAACAGACAAATTTCAGAAAAGACAGCCGGAAACGTATCCGTTTCACATACTGTTGCCTGTTCATACGTTTCTGCCGCACACTTTAGTGGGAAAACGGATCGTCAAAGCATACGAAAATGGAATCAGTAAACGGACAAAACTCCGCACTTCATCCACTTTTTTGTCCTTTTTCGGATCGGTTTTCGTTTTTTTTGCTGGCTGGGTCAGTTTAAGGAAAACATATTTCCCTTAGCTTTTGGGAAAAATTTACTTGCCGTTTTATCCCCCGTGAAAGGAATAGGTATGTAATTTTGCTCGTGGCGCTCATACAGTGGCAATGGCCGACAGAGCAAAGCTCTGAAGTGCTAGTCGAGGGATGCAAGGTTCGAGTCCCAGAGCAGGATTTTTTTATTTTTTTTATTTTATTTTATATTTATGTTGAATATAATTGTTATAAGGCCATAAATAACAAAAAACAGATAATATTTTTAATTGTAATTTTTTAAATTGTATTTAAAAAAATGTATCTAATTTATTTTTTATGGTATTTGAATATTTAGGATTTTCCATATATGAAATTAATTTTACAATTTGTAATTTATATTTAATTTAAATTGAAATAATTGACTTACCTTACTCTAACCACCTCCAACCGGACTCGAACCTGCGATCTCAGAAACAGAAGCAGTAGTCTTCACGCGACGCCACAGCCGACATTTGCCAGGAAAGCAATTAACTGTGTCTTAACAGCACTGACAAAATTCAAAATTATTTAAGGATATTATTACTTATTCGAGTAAATTTACTTCCTCAAATTAATGATGCCCAATTTTTTGCATGAACCTGAATTAAGGAAAAACTTCTCAAATTGAGTAAATTTTTCGTAATAAGGAAAAAACAGTAACTCTAAAATAAGTATACTTTTTCTTGTTTTACGGCTTTTTTCTGAGTGATTACTTTGAAAAATAAAATAAACAGAAAGATCACCAATATTTAAATAATACATAAATTGCTTTTTTTTTTGTAATTTGACGAAATTTCGTGCGAAATCGGCTGAATTCGCATATAAGCAAATATATTTATTAATCTTATTACAAAAGTGATACAAAAATGTTGGGCCATGATAAATTTTAATGTTTTTGGGATCGCTGATTAAATGGTGGACCCACCCAATATGGCGGCAAAAAAAAATTTAAGTCACTTAGATTCGCTAAAAAACTTTACATCGGATTTCAGATATTCAAAATTTCGGCTCCATATTGAATGTACCATTTATCACGGGAAAGTTAAAACCGAACGAATGTACACGGCGTATGAGTAACAAAAAATTTTAAAGAAAATGTTCTTTTAAATATTTTTATTTTTTATGCTATTAAAGTAGAAGGACGAAATTCGAGGATATGGTCGTGTGTATATTTATTCTTAACCTATAATTTTTTCAAAAGCAAATACTGCAAATTTGCAACGACACTCCTATTACCAATACCTATTCGTCCTTATGCACCAAAAAATTTAATATTTTTCAATTCTACAGAATTTCATCTTTTATTTGGTACTCATACAGATATTCTATATAATATTGAATTTTTTAAATAATTTTTGCAACTAATCAAACCTCTCAGTTTTCAAAGTCCTTAAAAAAATTCTAACTCCAGAGAAAGAAACTACTATATTTTGCTCCTTGTTTTGGAGTATAATTTTTTGTGTGCAAAATTGACTTTTGCTCGGTGTAATTCATGTTATCATTAACTTGATTTTTTTGAGTGACATGCCACTTTCAAAATAAACATTTTCGTTATTCCGTTGATTAGTAAAACTTCTCTCGAACAGAACCTCAGAAGCTCTAAACATTTCTATGATTTTTTTTTTAATTTGCAGATACCGTTAAATTCTAATTGGTGTTATCATTAATAAATTTTTTTGAAAAGGCGACTCATGCCACTTTCAAAATAAACGGCTCATATGTATATCTATATCATCTTAACAGCATGCAAAGTGGGATAAAGAAACTATTCAAATTGTATTCTAAAATAAATGTTATTCTTCTTACATCGACTACTACGAGGTATACAACGTGTACCGGATGAAACAGCACCGCACCATGGGAAGCAAGCGACTATTGCATCGAGCTGCTCATACGTGTCGCTTATGACTGTTAACAAATTATTTCATCGGCCATAAAGACATCATAGAATTTGTTTAAAATTCAAGCGTTACATATCATATTCCAGTGAAAGCATTTAAAAAAAGGGTAGAAAAGAGCACCAAAAATTGTCCATTACATTTACCAAAAAATATACATATGTATATGCACCACACCATCTGGTTCAAATATTTTTACACAAGAAAAGTTAGCATTCTTTACATGATATATGTACAAAAATTACCAAAAATCATTTACAAGAACAGTGTCATACTTGAATTGGACACCTCCTTAACGTATTGCAGGGATAGTCGTTTTAAATAGTTGGCGTCCTCTTCCGCTACAAAGAAACCCATAAAATTCTGACTCATATAAGGCTCCAACTTTAGGGGTCGATCTAGAAGGGCCCCACTCATGTCAACAACCTGTTTTAGAGCTTTGGATAATTGCAGTGAACTCTCATCCGGAGCCTTTAAACACAAAAAGAAAGCAACGAGAATAGTTATTAAAAATTCAAATAATTAAATAGTTATATATATTTGCTCTAACTAAAATTAACTACAAAATTGAACTATTTATGTCGTTCGGTAATGGACGAAACTGATTTTAAATATTTTAAACGACGCCCTGAACTTCTTCACTTATTTATAAAAAACGTTGCGAATATTCAGAGTCGTACGAGTATTTAGTCGTAGAATAGTCGATTTGGTGTCGACTTATCCGCTAAGTACCAGCATACAATTTTTTTTTCACCTGCAGTTTTATAGCTCATTCAATTTCAATACAATAAAGTGCATGTTAGAAGCGGCAGCGCATTCGCATTACATCTCATATACAAAAATTGTATACAAAAATTTGAGCAAAGTTTTTGAGGAAAAAAATGCCTTACTAAAATCCCTCTAAGACGCGAATGACTAAAACTCCAACACATTCACAAGTAAAACTAACCCATATGCAAAAATGTATATGCCAGTCGAGTCGGATAGAAAAGTGACAATCATTTTACCTGTCATATGATTGACAATGCTGGTAGAATAAGAATTTTTTTTCAGTGACTATCATTTGACCGGTCAGATTATTGTCACTGATGATGGAAAGGTTCACAAGAAAAGAAAATGTGTACATCATTATAAATCAAAATTCAAAAATTCTAGAAGAGAAAGGACGCTATTTTTGGACAGAATTTTCGATACCTTCAACTTTTGTGCAGCATCCGTATTTATTTGCGAGTATTTTTCAGAACGTGTATAAAGCTTCATTCACTCACATGGCACTCATTCGAGGATCGATAGCACGTTTTTGAGAGTTTCGATAGTAAAACTAATTTTTGCGTATGGAACTGAAGAGTCGCAACTTCACACCGAACGAACCGCAGGTTGCCGACCCCTGATACAGTGTCTTCAGATTTTTTTGGAAAAAAATGTTTAAATTAAATTAAGATACTTTTTTCCCCCGGTGTAATTCAAGAAATAGTAAACGCTCTTTACTGTATTTTACATACGAGAACGAAAGTTTAAAGCTCAATTGCTTAGAGTCTGCCAATTTATATGCGGTGTTTTTAATTTTTGGTTCTCTGACTGGTAAGGTACCCGCTATTTTTAACCAGAAGTGTAGTCATCTGCACTATCGCCGAACCTATCGTAGTTTAATTTTCGTGAAATCTATGAAGAGGCGATCACTGAACCGATTTGCTACGAACTTATAAACTCAAAGGCCCCTATTCATAGTCGTAAATTAAAACTCATTCTTGTTAAAATAAAGTTTTAAGTTTAGAATAGATTTTTAAGTTGTGTCAATCATGACATCTTAAAGCGGATTCATCGTTCCAGTTCTGAACTAAAGTTGAAGTTGAGTTCACAACTAAAAAGCGTTCAGAACTTTTCTCAGTTGCCCTCCAAGAGAGAAAAAAACACCAACAAGCACATGAAAGAAAAGTTCTGAACTGTAACGATCAAGGCATAGGCAAAAACAACATTTGCGTGTATTTTGTTGCTGCTTCTGGTCAGGGTTTGAAATTGCTTGACTATTTTCAATGCATTCGCAGTTGCTTAACTACGACTAACACAAATAAATTAGCAAAAGCAGACAGCAAAAGCGAAAAAGAAAAATGATCTCATTTGCTTCAGCTTATAGAGCTGTTTGTTTTTGCTTACACAGTCAGTCTAAGCAACCAGTTTAGAAAAATTTGCTGTTGCTACAAGCTTTAAAAGGCAAAAAAGTGTTGCTATCAGTGATCGGACTTATACCACATTGTGGTAGAACTAACTACCACTTTTTTGAGCAACTACCATACAAGCTCTGAAGGCTACCACATATTTGCGTTTTGAAGTAGTTTAATTTTTGGGAGCAACACTAAACACAGTATGATAACAAGAATGAATGATTACAAGATTTCGCGTTCCCAGCGGCGATAGGATTTAAACATTTTAACAGTTTTAAAAGCAAACAAAGCCGAATGGGAGGATAAAATAAAAATAGACTGTCAAAGAGTAAATCTTCTTAATATTCAATTTTTCGATAGTAAACGTGTTTCAATATCCTTAAAATGCAAAATATATGATTTATAAAAAGAATTAATAAATATTGGAAGTATTAGTGAATTTCAGTGCATTTAAAGTCTCTGAGGCGTTGTTTACATTTACTTGAGAATAGGCAAAACCCAAATAGCAGTTTGTAGAACGCACAACCTTTGTTCACTAAATCGTATTGTAGTAAAAAAAAAGCTGGCAGCACTCCGCAACGTTGGAGAAATCTCTCAAAGTAGGTTCGCAAAAAATCTTTATAAGGAAGGAACTGCTTTGCATTGTCAAGGCTGTTTTTAGTAACTTAAAATTTCCACTTTATTACATGTACTAAAATTTAAAAGTTTTTTCCTGGAGATTCTAAATGAAAAGTTTGCAATTTATGTGAAACGTTGCACAATTTTTTTAATTTTTGCACAAAGTTTGAAACTGGGATTATATGGCCTTTTAGACAATGAACTATACTTTTGTAAAAAATTAATAAACCTCAAACAAACAAAAGAAAAATAGTCAAAACATGTTGAACCTTTTTAATCAAATTTCCTAGAAAGACTCTGAGTATGCAGTTTTGTAGTCCATTGAATTATAGTAGAACAAAGTACAAGTTTCAAATGGCTAAAAATTACGGCTGATTTTTTAGATTTTGTTGTTTGTTGTTGTCAGAATTTTTCTAGGAAATCTAATTAAAAAGGTTAGAAATTTTTACGAAAGTTTGTTGATTTTTTTTTTTAAATACTGCACAAAGTTTGAAACTGGGATTTACACGAGTTTTATTAAAGAATGTACTATATTTTTATAAAAAAATAACCAAAATTAAATAACAACAAAAATAATATGTTAAAACTTGTCCAAATGTGGGGCGGCTATAATTATTTCGACCACTATATTTTTCGGGCCTTGCCTTTTTTAGAGCCTTCTTTTGCCTTTTTTGCGATTTCTAGTGCCTTTCCCGCCTATTTCCCTATTTTATTTTGCCTTTTCTAGCCTATTTCTTTATTTTATTTTGCCTTTTTCTATTAGTTTAGTTTTTAGGCCCTAAAAATCCGTTCCCTGCTAATAACCTACTAACAATAACCGCTTTAAAGCATGACAATGTTGAGTAGAAGTTTACAGGTTGAAATGAATAATGAAATTGTCGAAAATTCGGGAAAAATCTTGTCCCGGCGGAACATTTCAAATTTAATGCAAAATACGGGACGTCCGGCAAATACGTGACATTTGCAACGCTAATATACATACATATGTATTGGATAGCGCATAATGGGAAATTTGGGATGCATTCTAGCTTGCAATCACATTCTTACACCATTTTCATCATTCTCTTTTCGAAACAGATTACAAGTTCAAATGCACCCATTTTCTACGAAATTTCAGCTAAACATTTTATTTAGCAGTTCTGAAAATATATAGCAAAAGAGCGTATTTTCATTATTTGACCATTAATTCAAAAAATCTAACAAATTGAAAAAATAAAAATCAAGGACAATTCTGCTATATAAGTGGTGCTACTGGAGCAGATGATTTTGCTGATTGTCAAAATTATGTTTGTTGTAACTTTTTTTTGTTCATCGTGCGTATAATTTGTTAGCGAAGTTTTTTTTATTTTTGTGCTGCCGCTGGCTTGTTTGAATTCGCCTTGATAAAAATAATTACCTTGTTTATACCTACTCAAGAACCGCATGAACAAAAAAATGATTTGACTCAACACATATTTCTTTCCAGCATTTATACCTGTATGGTTATAGCGCACTCGCTGAAAACGTATTCAAAAGTAAACAAAAGTTGTTATTTTTATGCGATATTTCTTAAATAATTAATTTGCAAGTGGGACCGAAATGGAAGCGAACAAGAATTCAAATTTGTTATAATAATAATTCAAATTTTAAGCCCTGTATGCAGCTCTCAAGAAAACGGCCAAGAAAAAATTGCCATTATTTCGCGTGTGTGTTCAAGGAATTTTGACATTTTTGATACCTCACAGCCTGTCGCCTCACTCTTTCATCAAGAAATAATGGAACGGGCATATGTTTCCGTTGCAAACCTGGGTTGCCTTGTGCTCTTTTTTCACAAAAAACTTTAGAAAACCATAGTAGAAAGAGTGGTAAATTTCTTAAGAACTGCGTACTGCCTTAAGGAAATTTGACTCAAGAAAATTTCTTAGCCATTTCTTGTACGTCATTCTATATGGAGTTTTTGCTTTTCTTGACAGCTGCATACAGGCCTTAAAAGGTGATGTATAAAGAAAATCAGCCTTTTTTCACTTCGCGTCAAATGAGACACTATCTTGAATGGAAGTTTGGTTTATGCTTCCGTTTTGAATCACAGCCAACTGGGTCAAAGCGCTTTATGTGTTGGTATAAACAAGAGCGTATTTTTATTATTTGCACATTAATTGAAAATACCTATTAAATTGAAAAAATAAGAATCAAGGCCAATTCTACTAGGTGGTGCTACTGGAGCAGATGATTTTGATGACAAATTTTTTTGTTCTGATTGACATCGTGCGTATAATTTGTTAGTGTAGTTTTTTATTTTTGTGCTGCCGCTGCCTTGTTTGAATTCGCTTTGATAAAAATAATATTGTACTTGAACGAATTTTCGAAATTTATTTTGTTAATCTTCAAAACTTCAAAAACAGTAGAAATCGTTCGAGAACCTGTTAAGAAGATAGAAGTGTTTTGTTTTTTTTGTGTCGTGGCGATAGGCGACACAATTATCTTCTAATTGCTGACAGGGTCGTTTTCATGGCCAATTCATACAAGGTGGTGGTACCGGAGCTGCTGATTTCAAGACGAATTGTGCTGATTTTCAAAATGATGTTTTGGTTGTACATTTGTTTTTATTCTGATTGTCATCGCAGGTATAATTTGTTAGTGTAGTTTTTTGTTTTGTGTTGCCGCTATCACCTTGTATGAATTCGCCTTGGGTCTTTTTTAAAAGTAAATGTTAATATTAAATATAAAATGTTAATAAGCCACAAAAACATTGACAAATACAGTTAATATTTTGGTTTACAACAAAGCATGTTGTTTGTTATCATTGGTTCAATGCCTACAAATGATACAAAAACAAAACGACTTGAATCATCATTGTCAAAGAGAAAAAAAATATTATTGCATAAGAAAAAAATAGGAGCGGTTCGGGATAGATTTTTTTCCTTGTGCAATTAGACGAACCAGTATAAATCAGCTGCTGCCAAAAATATTTAAAATAATAAGAACTAGTAAAGATAATTTACCTTGAAAAATGAAACCAATGTGATATGTGGTACGTAGTTGTGAGCACCATTCCAACCGCACACTATGCGCGACTTATTCCAAAATTCTTCCAGCTGTTGTAGAAAAGGTCCAGTCGGGCACGCATACAAAATGTATTCACGGGGATTACTTTCGTCTAATGTAGAATCATTTACGTGAGCAAGCAACCAATCGGAAGCGATTTGAACTCCTCTGTTACCAGTTGCAGCCAAGGCTTTTTCTCTGCATAAAAAAAAAATATATATTTTCGAAATTAATTTTTTTTTGTGGTCGGCGGGATTCAAACATCGATATAAAGAAAAAGCGACATGAGACGGGAGGGATCTTCACACAACTTTTTTTTGTATTAAATATTATACTAGTGTCCGACCGAACTCGAATTTTTGGCCGAAACCGAACTGAACACTCGGCTATTTTCTTGAAGTTTGGCCGAAACCGAACAGAGCACTCGGCTAACTCGGCCGAACTTTTTAGAGTAAAAATTTCATAGCTTGAAAAAATCTGTAATTTTACTCAGTGAAATAGTATACACAATATACCAAGCGAGATTACCATCGAATAAACGTTCCAAGCTCCCCCCTTTATATTTACGCTCCAAACCGGATTGCCTTGAGCCATTGCATCTGTAAAGATGCTGCTCTCATTACCACTATAGTGCGTGTTAGACGTAGCAATGTAATAGGGGTATTCTTGATGTCTTGAAAAGCCCTTGCACGGAGCACATACTCGATACTTTTCGTCCGATACCAAGCAATTTTGGTATCGATACTTTTGAACCGAGTACTGAGTAGGTATCGGAAGAATGTACTTGTATCGAAACCCGATTCAGTGACAATTTTATTCCCGGACCTTTATTTTTTAATCCAATTATCATTGTTAATAGTTAAAAATTGTTGGCAGTTTAGTTGCCAACGAAAAGAAAGTCCTACAAAGAAATATCCTCTAATCTGCGTGCACTTTTTGTAAAAACTCATATTTGGCTATAGGAAGCAAGACAAATTAAAAAACGCAATGTCTCCAAAAGGATTAACTAACGTGCTTGTTTTATTTCTTCCCATTTCTATTCAATTTAAGGCAAAATTACTAAGTCCAAAAGAGGCACAGAAAATTTGATAAGCTCACAAAAAATTCTAAATCTTTTAATTTGCAACGGAACCTTTTGCAAAATTCTTGATGGAAATGTTTAGAAAGGTTGTTTTTCTCTCCAGTAAAATTTCTACAAATTGACTTAGCAACTTTTCACTCTTAGGCAAAGAACATAGTGACGCGACAAAGAGAGCGACAAGACATTTTCGCGATAATAGCGCCAAAAACAAACCTTTATTTTTCAATGTAGCAGCACATAGGGAAGCGAAAAGCGAAGAAAGCGACAAAGAGCAAAAAAATTTGTTTTCGTTGCTTTCTGAGCTGACGGTTGCTCCACTATGTTTTAACGTTTCTTGTCTTTCTTCGCTATTATCAGAAAATGTCTTGTCGCTCTCTTTGCCGCGCCACTATGTTCTTTGCCTTAGCTAGCCATATGAATTAGAGGCCTGCAAATGTTGAACTATAAAACATAGCGACATGTGTCACATCATGCAAGAGCCAGTTCATACCCTGCAAGAACAGTGACTGTCATTTGACAAATCATTTGAGTAGCAAGACTGATAGAGATTTCAGTCACTGGCTATAGCTATATAGGTATACCTTCAACCCTACAAGAACAGTGATAGTCATTTGATTGATCATGTGATACTCACTGGTGATGGAGATCTCAAATCAAGTATCTCTATCAACTTTTTAAGAGCAAATGAAAAACGTGATGTAAACATTTGTGTACATGTGATCTTCCGTCTTCCTCTAACTTACGGCCTTATTTAATGGTCTCTTTTTAACCAACGCAAAATTTGCAAATGTGTTAGTAAGATAAATGAGAATGTGTTAATTTCCATCACACAATTCTTGTAGCGAAGTTTCTATCAAATTCTAAAGGGCAGTGTGAAAAATCTGATGGAAACTTTTGTGTACGTGTGATGCTTCATCTCCTTCTAACATATACGTTCTGGCATATTGCTAGACTGCTTACTCCCTTTGAGTTCGGCATTCAAATTTTAATCATCAGTGATGTAAATCTTCGACAATTATGAGTGATCAATAGAAATATAAGTCAGTAATGTGCAATCAAATTTGATGTAATAACCGATCAATCATGACACATCAAGTCTGTCATGTTTTCATATCATTGTTGATTACTCACAGTTGATGTAAAAATTCGTCTAGTCCGATCTGTCTCCCACGATATAGAAATCTATCATTAATGACACATGTAATACTTGTTTTTTCTTTTATTTTCATAAAATCTTATGAACTAATTATTCATCAACAAATTAGAAGCTAAGTACATTACATCAAATTAGAAGCTTAATACATTACCCTAAGCACAGTACATTAAACATTAATAAACAAACGAAATGTGGCCAAAAATTAAGCAAAATAAGGCGTTTCTATTATTTTTGCCACCAACGTACATATGTACTTAAATCTAATATCCTAATATTATACATTTCCAGCCGATATGTTTTTAGATTTTTTGGTGCAAGCGGTGATGGCTGAGCTCAATTGCCTTCCTGATTTCATTTTCGAACTCAAAAGGACCTTTCTTTTTAAATGCATCTAAGTGGATTGAAATAGATTATCAAAAAATTTGTATTGTTAAAAGATATGTACATATGTATACGGTAGTGATAATTAGGGATACTATTTATTTATAAGTTTTGACCATTTATTTAGGAACTTGCGTCGATTTTGAGAATTTTTGACAAAGTATGTTAAAAAGGTTTATATATAGGTATATAGTTATAAATAAATAACGAAGAAATAAATGGTCAGAACTTGTTGTGTCCCTAATATGTGTTAGAGGTATACGCCGCCGGGCCACGCTGCCGCCGCACTATGGGCGATTTAGGGGAAAAAATTTTCAAAATCAAATTGCGCCTCTCAGAGATGAGATAAATCAACGATTCTTTTTTTTTGTGTAAAGGATTTTTATTGTAGAATAAGGGAAAATTACAAAGAAATGCGACTCTAAAGTTGCACAATTACAGGACTCATGGAAAGGAAGAGAATTAAATAAAAAGATTGAAAAAATAAAAAAAAACAAAAACAGCATGACTCGTAAATGAAATAGAACCAACGTGGAAGTACCAACTTTCAAATAAGACCAATATAAATACAATCTATGGGGCCATTCCAGTGTTATGCGTGTTATATTTGTTACGCTAAGGATTTTTTGTTAATGTATGTATGTAAATCAGATCTACACCGTTAATACGATTTTCAAAATGTATGTGCCAAATTAAAGGGCTTGACCTTTAGATGTGCAGTAAGGTTTAATTTTTTCTAAAAGAGTTGCCACCTGTTAAAAAATTATATGCAAATTATTTAAGAAATGGCTTTGAAAATGCTTTATTTTTAAAATACATGTAGGAGGGTTGCCACCTGTTTAAAAAGTTAAATTCAATTTCAGCGTTGTAACCTTAACTGGTAGAATAATTAATAATAACACAATCAAATTGAATATAACATGGTCAACATGAAACATAAGTCATTCGTTAATAACACTGTGAGACAAATGGTAGGGGTCAGTGATCGGGAAGGGTTCAAACTACCGGGGAAAGTTATATCGGTAAAAAATAAGTTATACGTGTCCCGGCGTTTCGCTGGGAAAACGTTATATGAACAGATAAAAGGAATTGTAATTTTTAATTTTTTTAAATTTGTTTGAGCAAAATCGGACTAGTGCTTCTCGAGTTATGTCAAAAAAAGACCACCAAAGGTGACAATTTCCCCTATAAGATAGATATATATAAATCTCGATTCCTAGACGTGACCCAGCGAAACGCCGGGACACGTATAACTTGTTTTTGACCGATATAACATTTCCCGTTGGTTTCATCCCATCCCGATTTTGACTGTTGCATAGTGTAATTGAACTTCACTTACTTTTAAATTATCGTGCATACTCAATAGAAGAAAAAATCCAATTATATGCAAGATGAGCGGACAAAAAAGAAGAAAAAACAAATAAAACCATATCTTTAACAATCAGAGGTATGGAAGATATACCTTATCTGGCACCAATCTAAATGATTTTCACTGCTGTGTGATCGGTACGTGAACCGGTAACACAATTTAATGGGTTTAGCTGCCTACATCAAGGAGATATATCGCAAAGACTGGTATCTGAACAATCAGTGGTATAAGAGATAAAGCTCATACAGCATAAATTTTGACGATTTTCTCATTAGACTTTGTATTATTATTTATAAAATAGCTTACGAAATTTATCGGTTTTGGCTGTCCAAATAAAGGAGTTTTACAGTAAAACCTCATAGCTGAACAATCAGTTGTATGGGGGCAATAAACAGGTTATAGTGACCCGATCTTTGTTAATTTTATTGTAAACTTTCTGTTGATAATGAGTGAAAATAGGGCGAAATTTCATGTTTCGAGCTACATAGATAGAGTAGTTATAACAAAAAATCGCATATCTGAACAATCAGTTGTATGGAGGCTATAGGTTATAGAGACCCGATCTTCGCCATTTTCACTGAAAGTATTATTTTTATAATGAGTGACAACAGTGCAAAATTTCATGTGCCTAGCTAGCTGGAGGAGTTATAACGAAAAATCTTATATCTAAACAATCAGTTGTATGAGGGCTATAGGTTATAGTGACCCGATCTTTGTAATTTTCACTATACGTTTTCTGTTGATAATGGGTGAAAGTATTGCAAAATTTCATGTTCCTAGCTGCGTAAATGGAGAAGTTATAACGAAAAATCTCATATCTGAACAATCCTACCAAATTTCATCCGGATATCTCGAAAACTGAGAGACTAGATTGCATACAAACAGACGGACGGACAGACAGACAGACAGACAGACAGACAGACAGACGGACAGACGGACATGGCTAAATCGACTCAGCTCGGCGTTCTTATCATTTAAGTATACATTTTAATGGGTCTATCTCTTCTTATTCTGGTACTTACAAACATCGGACCAAAGTTATAATACCATTTCATGCTCATGAAAGGTATAAAAATAAAGTGGTCATTCGTTCTTTTCCGTATCATTTATAGACAGATTGTTAACGCAGAAGGAAGTGAAACAGAAGACGAGAGATCTCTAACAATGATTCTGATGAAGAACTTATTATATAATTATCATTGTTAGCTAAG